TCTTCTCAAATTGTTTCGGTTTGAAGAGCTTAAACAAATGTACTTGTTTATGACTGTTACTCAACCATGTTATCGTGTGACTGTAGACCAACTTCTCTCCATGTCAATATTTGAAAATCCTGATGCTAAGGTTTTTCCTAGCGTTTTATGATTCTTATTTATTCTTTCGGCAAAAGAAAAACTCTTTTTCTAATTTCTTCTTTCAATAAAACGAGATTTCAATTATTCTATATTATTTACTTGAACCTAAGAAACTTCCATTTGTTGTCTTTGCCATTTTGCGTTTCATCATCTCTTCAGTAGCTTTTAACTCTCCTGTCATTCTTGGAGTGGATTGAGGCTGAAACACATTAATTACACCAACTTTTGAACTTTTAGTTTTTGCTTGTCTCTTTTCTTCTTTTGGTTCTTCAGGTTTCACTTCAGAAAGTTTTTCTACATTTAATTGATTTGATAACGCTCGGTCAACTAACATATCCATCACTCCAATAGAATGTCCTTTTGTAGTATTAGCAGTACAAAAGTCTTGAATTGTAATACATCTAGAGTCATAAGGGAATGTCATCTCATGAAGGTTCCTCTTCTCAATAAATCTAATACATGACTCTCTAATAACACGACCTAATGAATAAATTAAAGACCTTTGAAGAGTTAATAATGTACTGCTTGTTTGATTTGATTTAATTTGATAAATTCCATTATGAAGGATTTTAATTTCAATAAGTAATTTTTCTGGGTTTTCTTCAGATTTCTCATTATTTTCTCCCCAATATATCTCAATAAGATCTTCTATCTTGTCATTGACAGGAATTAAACTTTTAACATGATAAATTACATCAACAAAATCATCTTGATAACAAATCATACGTTCTTTATCTTCATATCCCTCTTTTAATCCCTCAAATCCTGTTGTAGAACGAATAACTCCAAGTTCTTGAATAAACTGCATAAATTCTTTGGTAATTCCTTGTTCTTTGTTTTGAATAGAAATTCCAACATGAGTTCTATTTGACATTTTATCAATTTCATCTAATGTTTCTAAAACTTGAAGACTTGTTTTAATTGGGGTTAATCGTTTCCAAAAGTTAGAACTACAGAATCCCATTGTTGTTAAAAACAATCGAACAGCATAATATTTTGTACCATGTTGAACATTCATAATATCAACATACTTTGGTTGTGGAATATCTTCCTCTAATGGGGGTTGATATTTATCTTCCTTTATCTTGATATAAGAGTCAATATTGCATGCTGAAACATTTTCAAGTCTTTGAAGTTCTTCTAGTACTTTTTCATCAGATAAAATAACTAAATTGTCTCGTTCAGGTTTATCAATAATGTCCATATGTTTGTGTTGTGATTGGATAATTTTATCGTCAACCTCATTTAATGAAATCAAGTATCCTTTCTTTCCAATACAATCACGTACAAGAACCATAAATTGTTTTTCTCCTGAAATATTTTTAAAAGGTAATTCAATAAATGATAAGATTACCGTATTATCAACAGTAACAATATAGATATAATCCAATACATTTTTGATGTTATTTTTCATAAGTATATCAACAATATTCTTTTCACTTACTTGACAATTTAATAATTGACTTCCAAATATTGGTTTGGGAATCATAAGGTGTTGATACACAAAAGCAATGGATTGAGATAATGACATTGTAAAATATTCTAATCCTTCATTTGGAATATCACTCAATCTCATTAAAGTACGTTTTTTATCATATCCTTCAACAGATGTAAGTTTCTTGTATAATGCAGTTAACTTTTTCATTTGGTCTTGAGTAATATTCTTCATAATACTTTGATAATAAAGGGTAATTACACTAAGACAATCTCCCATAATAACTAAATTCATATTTCTTATCCATTGATTGAAGAGTTCATTGAGAATATCAAACAAACTATTGATAAATTCATCAGACTTAGGAATAAATGAATGATATTTAATCAAATTTTTGAGAATAGTAAATATTAAACGATGAATTTCTGGTTTAGAAGTAACAAATAAAGTAGAATGATTAATTTCTATTAATTTAACAAAGTACCAAGCTAAACCACCAACAGTTTTTGGAGGGACTTGATTTAATGTTGATATATTAAAATCTTCTTGTGGTTTATTGAATGGAAGTTCTTGAATAAAGTAACGATTTATAAGTGTTAATATAGATGCTATTCTTGAAGCATCTACTTCATGTTTAAGAAGTAAATATAAATTTAATACAATGAGAGATTGAATAGAATATTTTTCTTCAAATTCAGGACTTTGTTTAGGAATAAAATGAATTTGTGAAGAATCAGGAAGATACATTAATGATGCAAGTAGGTCTATAAAAACAGTATGATAATCAACAAAAATTGTTTCTTTTAATAAACTAGCACGATGAACTGCATATAATGCTGTTTTAGCAAGAATTTCCATTCCTTCAAATGATTTTCCAATAAGACTAACATATCCTTTTAAACCAATAGCTAAAACTTTTTCACTTTCAGATGATAAAGCATAAGATAAAGCATAATATAAATTATCTAATGATTGTTTTGTAAATGTTGTATATTCACAAGTACTAATAAAAATTTTTAATAATGTTTCCATTGCACAACAAACTCCTTGTTCAAATTTTAAGTGAGAAGGTAAAATAACACATTGAAATAATATATTATATACTCTTAATATTGTTTCTCCAGTACAATGGTATTGAATCATATAATCAACTTGTTCTGATATTGACTGAATAATAACTTCAACAACAGATGCATTATTACTAATAAGTGGTGTTCCAATAAAATGTAAACAACAAATCCAAAAATTATATGCATATTTTGGTGCAATAACATTTTGTATTGTTGTATTTTCTTTAAATCCATCTAATGAAATAAGACATTCTTTATTATTATATAATTGATTCATTACACCTTCTGTAACTTTTTTCATAAGTACTTTCCATTGTTGTGCAACTGGAAGAAGAATACTCCATGTTTTATGATGTTGAATAATTGACATCCAAAGTAATTTATCTTGAGGTAATAATTTAATCCAAGCACGATATAAAGTATTAATAACACGACCACTAATCTCATCTGCTAAATTACTTTTTTTTTCTTTTGCTTTATAAAAATTACTTGATACATTTGAACTAACAATAGCAGTAATACTTTGTTTAGGCATAGTTGCAAGTGAATGAATTGCTCCAATTAATAAACAAATAACATTATGAGTATCAACAACATTATCATTTAATGCTAAATCATATATATCCATGACTCTATTACAAAATTCAACCATTTGATTTGTTTGATTTGTTGAACAAGAGCGTTGAGTAAAAATTAATGAAAGATGTTCTAACATACAATTTAAATACTTTTGTCGATTATCTTGAATTGCCTTAGGAATATGTTCTCCAAATAACCATTGATGATAAATACTAATTGTATTTCCAATAGTTTGACTTGATTCCATTGGAAGAACAAAAGCAAATCCTAATGACTCTAATAAATATTCAAAATGTGTTGGTGTTTTAATTTTTTGATTGAACTCTTCAATATTATTAATTATTTGATTACTAACATTTGTAGCAATCAATGTTTGAATAGAATTTTCAAACATTTGATAAATATTGGATGTAGGTAAATATTCTTTTAATCCAAGTTGATTTGTTGTGTCAATAAACATTATTTCTAATTAACAAATTTTTTAATTCTTTTTCTTTCTTTTCAAAATTTCTTTTCTTTTACTTTAAAAAAAACTTCTTTTTTATTTTTCTTCTAATAAAAAATTGTAATAAAAAGTATTTCAATTCAATTTGAATTAATTGATATGTGTTTATACCATATCTTATTCAAGACAAACCTTCTTTTTAAACTATTGGCTTATATGATGCAATTAAAATTTCTTCAAGTTCAGTAACAGTTGCTTTCTTTGGATTATACTTACTGTATTGTGATTCTAATGTAGTTACAGCAATATCATGAATAGCATCTTTCCATTCTTTTTCATCAATACCACATTGTGCAAATCCAGTTGCACTTTCTGTTCCTTTAAGTAACATTTCACATTCAGAAGCAAGTGATTCAGCAGCATTATTTCCTGGATTTAATCCTGTTCTATCACAAATTCTTCCAAACCTTTCCATTACATCATATTTCTTTAATTGAGATTGTCCTTCTATTGGAACTTTTGCATTATATCGAATAATATGTGGTAATAAAATACCAGCAACTCTACCATGATGGATATGGAAATGATTAGCAATTTTATAGGCTAAGGCATGAACAAGTCCAAGATATGCATTACCATGTGCCATACCAGCAATAGTAGAAGCATTATGTAAATTAGCACGAGCACAAGAACATCCATTATAACCATTAACTAAGTTCTTAAAAATTATTTGAAGTGCTTCAAGACACATACCATTAGCAAAATCATTAGCATAAGTAGAGATATAAGCTTCAATAGAATGAGATAACATATCAAATCCATTATCAGCAAGTGTTCGTTTAGGTACAGTATAAGTAAATTCTGGATCAACAATAGCAACAGATGGAATTAAATTATAATGTGCAATTGGATATGTAATATTAGTTTTTTCATCAACTATTATACAGAATGGTGAAACTTCACTTCCATTTCCTGATGTAGTTGGGACACAAATTAAACGTGCTTTCTCACCAACTTCTGGTCCACTAAAAACATTTTCTTTAATGTCAGCAAATTGAGTTGGTATGTCTTGAAGTTTAAGTTCTGGATGTTCATATAACATCCACATAATTTTAGCTACACACATAACTGATCCACCTCCAATAGCAATAATATTATCTGGTCCA